CTCATATCTGACATGTTCCCCTCATATCTGACATATCCCCCTCATATCTTACATGTTCTCTCATATCTTACATGTTCCCTCATATCTAATGTGTCCTCCTTATGTTGTATGTGTGTAATAGCCTCCTGGGCATAGTGTGTTGTTTTGTCACCACGTGTAATGAAATATAAAGGCAGCATTTTCCCGTCTTGCATGTGTGTCTCCACGGAACATCGGTCAGCTCCAGGTGATACAGAACAGGGGGGTAGCTTGGGGGCACAGCCCTGAGCCATTCACATTACAGCTAGATGCACGGAGACACCAGGCTGTACAATTGAGGTTCCAGGGGTTCCCCTAACAGCCAGGTTTGGGGCTCTGGTGATAGCGTTGAAGGCCTGGCACGTATAGCTTCAGTATTTTTGGGAGAAATCTTTGTTATTCATCATTAGTATTTATGCCCAAACATTTCTATAATCTTTTTCTTATGTTTACTTCCTCTGTCTGTATGTATAATATGATGAAAGTTTAAATAAAAAAATACCCAGTGAATCTGGAGAGCCTGGTTGGTATTTTCAGAAACTTTGGGAGTTTTGTTTTTCAACTGCATAGTAATTGATTTGTAGTTAGAGAGTGTTTCATTTATGGTGTTTGCATGGGTTTGTATGTTGCAGGTATATTCTTTTAAACCCTCTGCAAATTTAGCAACAACAAAATCAAACCCGCTGCACACTTTTCTCCCTTGGGCCCGCTGGTGGATTTGAACTGCTGGGGATGTGCAGTGTTTGGGTTACTAACTACAGACAACGCTCCTGGAGCTTCCTTACAGAAGAGGTGTGACACACGAAGAGTGGTTTTCCCTCTTCTCCTCCTTCTTTAATCCTTGCTAACTTGTACACTGAGCACCAGCAACTGAGCCCACTGTCATCCCGTCCGCTCTGACTCGGTGACCGTTTGTCGGGTGTTTGAGGCTCTATAGACATCTTTTTTTTGGGGGGAGTTGTTATTATTATTATTATTATTACTCATTTTTATGAAAATTTACAAAGACTTTGGATTTCCAGTCATTCATTGTTGCAGTTTTCCCCCTGGCCACCCCACCCCCCAGTTCACTCTTCTCTTTGAAAAGTACAAGAAAAAGTCTTTCATTGTTATACAGTCTCTCCCCCACAGGTCCACTCTACTACACAGACTTCGTTCTGGACTCCTGTCATGACAATACTAATCACATATCCCTTTTAAACAGTTCTCTCCCTCATCTGTTTCAATGCAGTATACATAATTTATCCCAATTTTTCTCAATCTCCCCCCAACCCCGAGTAGACATCTTTTCAAGAGGAAGCTACCCACCTTTTTCTGAAGAGCAAGTGGCGGATTTGATCCCCTGACCTTTCGCTTAGCCGATTGACACATTGTGCACTCTGCCACCAGGGCTTGGAGAGCTGTCAGTGCCCTACAGCTAGTAGAAGTTCTCTGAACATTCATTACTGGTAGTGATGGTCATCATTTAGCTGAGAGAGCTGCCTTCTGTAATGACTTTGAGTGAAGCATCCATTCTGAAAATAGAATTCTAGGTAAAATGCATTTGGTAAAAGAAAGATTATAAATCACCTCAGCCCATTGATGGTTTCTGTGTTTCTCTACATAGAGTTTGAATTGGTACTTTTGTAGCAGTTAGATGCCTAATTTACCTGCTTCTCTTAGAATTCTTTTTTTTTTCCAATAAAATTTTGTTTTGTGATTTTAACAAACGTTTACAGAGAAGTTAGATTTTCATTCATTCGTTGTTGCACATTTTACCCCCTTGCCCTGCCTTCCCCTTACCCCAGTTCACTTCTTTTTAAGATGTTGTTGTTGATGGCCTTCGATTCGAGCACGACTCGTGGCAACCCTACGAACCAAAAGGCCTGCAGCCCCTCTGCAGCTGTTGACATTTATCAAAGTTCATAGAGTTTCCGGAGGCGTGTTGTTTCGGAAGTGGATGCGCCTTGGTGGCACACTGGGTAGAGTCCGTTCCTGTCAACCAGAAGCTTGGTAGCTTGAGCCCACTAGCTGCTCATCAGGACGATGGTGTGCCTACTTCTGTAAAGGGCAGCCTTTGAAACTCCAAGTGCAGTCCTGCCATGTCTAGAGAGCCACAGTGACTCAAAAATCAACTCCATGCCAGTATGGGTGGTTTTTTAATTTGCTTCCAGTTCTTTGAAAATAACTATTGATGGAAATGGGAAGAAAAGCAATGAAAGCAGTGTGGAATGCTGTGTGAAGCAAAGTAGAGTGGTTTTTCTAAGCCTGCTGCACTTTGTTTATCTTTTGTTAAAAGACTAGCCAGCTTATTTCTGTAGATCCCCCCTCCAAAGTGGTCCAGTGTTATAAAGTAGGGAAGCATAAACTAAGAACCTGTTATGTAGCATGGAGTGAGTAAAAGCCACTTCTGACCCAGGTTTGATAAATGGGGGACCAGGTTTTCACTGGCCAAGCTTTTTCATGCCTGCCTGGGTGAGCTCTGTCCAGTCTTTATCAGTGCATGCGCTTGGCCACCCTGGCTCATGGCCTCAAGAGAATATACTTTAGTCATAAGGGACAGAATCTCGGACATAACCCTCCTTTCCTGCAATTAATTGTTCAGAAGACATTTTCTTTCTTTCTTTCTTTTTTTGGGGGGGGAGACATTTATACAAATTGTTGTTGTTGTTGGCTTTTGAGTCAGAACCGATCCAAAGGTGACCCTTCAGTGGGTTTTCAGAGGCAGTAAGTCAGATAGGAGGAGACTGCCTGTCCTTCTCCCGTGGAGCACCTGGTGCATTCAAACCACATACCTTTGGGATTGCAGTGCAGCCAGCTCTTAGTTCTAGGCCACCAGAGCTGCCTTGTTTAACTACAAATAGAGGAGCATGGGGGCAGGGGTGGGGGGGTGGGGATACTTCAAGGGAATTATTCCTTCTGCATGTCCACCAGAAGTCTAGCTCGTGGTTGCCTGGCCGTGAACCTTAACCAGCTATGGATTGCTCCTGGAGGCTCTGTTTGGAATTTTCTCCGTCTACACCCATGGGTGGGGATGGTGGGTAATAGTGCTTGGTGGTTACTTACAAACTTGTGTTAATGAGAGGAGATGCTCCTGTGGGCTTGGATGGCCAGGTGCGGTCACCTGACACTTTCGCCTAATGCTCCAAACAGTCCTTTGTCAGCCCATCTCACAGATAAGGACCAGAGCCACCGGCTTATATGACTTCCCTGAGGTTATGCATGCAAAGGATAGATTGAGATACGGGCCTTTTGACCACACGCCCATTTCTAGAAGCAAGTAAATAGTCTCCTGCACCCTTTGACCTTCTTTTGTTGCCCACAAAGATCCTCGTTTTCTTCCCATTTCCATTTTGTTATTTCATCATATTTTTACTCAAAGCGAGTTATCAGCCTCTGTACTTTTTTACAAAACCCTGGAGGCGTACTGGTTAAGCTCTTGGCCTATAACTGAAAAGTTGCTGGTTCAAAGCCAGCACCTGGGCCAAGGGAGAAAGGTATGGAATGTGCATCCATGAGGGTTTTCTAGCCTTGGAAACCTCATGGGACAGTTCTCTGTTTTGCAGGGTTACTGTAAACTTGATGGCAACAGATAACAGGCATTCCTTTCTGGATCATTTATATTTGCTATTCATCAGTTTGTATTTAGGAATGAAAAGAAAATGTAAAATTAGAAAAATATATAGATATGTTGTTTCTATGTGTGTGTGTGTGTATGTATGTATGTATATATATATAATAGTTTATATGTATGTATCTCTGCGATGTATGCCATCAGGTCAATTTCCAGCTCATCCGGACCCTGTAGGACACAGCCAGACAGCCCCATAAATTCCCT